TTTTTCTTCTGCTACCTTTCATTTTATTTGATGTGAATTTTTTGTATGTGAACTTGTTTTGTTTTTAAATTAAATTAATAAATGGAGCTTCAATACAAAAATACTTACTTTTTTGGTCACTTGGTTGCAAAGAAAAGACACTAATTTTTTACCAAACTGTATTACGTGTGTGAGACCAGTGTATGGGTGAGGCTTGGATTGTAGGGCAGGTCCTTGTTGTGCAACAAACCTACTAAACATTTTTGTAATTAAATCACTAATATGCTCTGATCAATAAGCAAAGCTGCATAGAGGGAGTAGAAAGTGTCTGATGTTCATGTGTGACATGGCTGGAAACTGTGCAGCAAATGTAATCTTTTTGGCTAATCCCGCTGCGGCGTGCTACAAATAACAAGAAGCACATGTTCAGCCACGCCTCACAGAGCTTCCCTAATATTCTAATCAACAAGATGACTTTTTAAACTAATATTTAGCTGCACTTTTTGATTCATTTTCATATTTGAGTACCCAGGACTCCTTAAATTAAAAATAAATGTCCATCTTCATGGCAATTATGTCATTCTCCAATTAAACTGTAGTTCAGAGCTGAGAACATAAACAGAGGTTCTCCACAGAAACTGTTGCTGATTTACCACCACAATACACCACAGAGCAAAACCTGACAGTTGGTTTATGAAGCACAGCTCAGATCCAAGTATAAACTATCCCTTTTCTGACCACWGCAGATAAATAATGATGTGATACGAAGGAACTTTGCGCAACATCACTCGCAGCGAGGACTCCAAAGACTTCAAATCAACTTGTGACACGACGGGTAACTGCGCAGAGCGGGTCGACCCGGGCGCTCCACCGGTCACTGGGTGTGTTTCCAAACATTTTCCCACCACCTCTCAGGGCAGTTCATCCCCACAGCTCGGCCACAGACCGCTGTTCAAACACGCCGTCACGTAACAACGCTGCGTTTGGACAAGCAGGGCCGGCTGCCACAATGCCCCGGCAGGGTCCAACATCAACAGTCCGCAGAGGAATGGCGACACCAGAAGAACCACAGACACAAACAACATGCTGGCCACAGTGATAACCCACGACTGAGAACTTTTGTTCTCCATCATGTTTGGCCGAGGCGCGGATTAGAAGTAAAACTTAGACAAAGCAGCTCAGGATCTGTTACTGATGTTAGAGTCAGAGCTGAAAGGACCAGAATAGTTCAAAATGTTTTCAACTCTTTCATCTGGTTCTCCCACCAAGCCAGCAGTTAAAAGATAAACATGATAGAAAAGGGTGTAAAATATACATTTTTGCCTTTTTAAAAGATACAAACATCCATATTTAGAGCTTAAACATCTTGTAACAACCACCCGTTATCACTCTATTAAAATCTGTCGTACAAGCTTTTATTCATAACCGACTAAAATGAGCTAAGTTTTAGTGCAGGGGTGCCCAAAGTGGGGCCCGCAGGTCTAAACTGGTCCACCAGCAGTTGTCCTGGACTGGAATCTCCTGTCTTATGTAAACCCTGCCTTTCGACAGTCTTTTCGACCATTGGTCCAACTAAACGTAAACGGACCTGGAGTCAGACTTAACTCATGGTCCTCACTATATCTTTGAATTATGTTAAGATTAAATATAAAATACAAGCAACTGTAAGAGACATTTAGATTAGGTTTAAGACCATATCTAGATTTGCACACCTTATAAGACCACACAGTCAAATTTTAAATTATGAAAATTCCCATGAGCCTTTGCTGCACGAGCATTCGTTGAGTTTTCTCCATGAACATGGGCTGAAAAAACAAAAACAAAAGAATGTAGGGAACTGCACCGGCTGCTAGCTTAATCATAAAAAATAAAACAACTTTACTTAAGAAGTTTAAAAAGAAAAAAATAGTATAGGTCCTCTGGACGGGTTCTTCTCTAATGAAACGTTTCGTCTCTCCTCCAAGAGACTTCTTCAGTCTGAGAGTTTCAGGCTAAATTCAGGCTTTTAAGCCCCGCCTCCATGTGACTGATACTCACATCACATGGCTATCATTGACACCTAATTAACACCTATTGTTAACAGGGGGTGGAGTGATACTGGCAATAGCCGCACTATAGGAGGGGGACAACTGAAAACGTAGGCCTCCACCTCTGTTTAATGATGGACGGTCTTTCTTCACAAAAATGTCTTCTTTTACTCCTCTCTCAAACCAACGTTCCTCTCTATCAAGAATGAGAACATCCTCATCTCTGAAAGAGTGACCGCTGGCCTGTAAATGAGTGAAAACTGCAGAGTTCTGGCCATTAGATGTAGCTCGTCTGTGTTGGGACATTCTTTTGAACAGTGGCTGCTTTGTTTCCCCGATGTATAACTGGTCGCAGTCCTCCTGGCACTTAACAGCATATACAACATTGCTCTGTTTGTGCCGGGGCACCGGATCTTTGGGGTGAACCAGCCTTTGCCGTAATGTGTTTTGGGGTTTGAAAGCTACTGGGACATCATGTTTAGAAAATAAACGTCTCAGTTTCTCCGAAACACCCGCAACATACGGAATAACCACTGGTTTGGGTCTGGGTTTGGGGTCTTCATTTTCACCTGAAGGTTGCATGGAATCCTGTCTGTGTTTCCTGTCTGCTTTCAGGAAAGCCCAGTCAGGATAACCACACTGCTCCAGGGCCTGTCGTGTGTGTGATTTCTCTTTCTGCCTGGCTCCTGGGTTTGTAGGGACACTGTCTGCTCTGTGGTACAGAGTCCTGATCACTCCTGAGATGCATCAGGACTTTAAGAAGTTTACATTTCATGTATTAAATCATTTCATTTGGCCCACGGCCCTCAGACTGATTTGAATTTTGGCGCTCTCAGGGGAAGTGTTTGGGCACCCCCAGCTTAGGGCAAGTTGAATTTAAGACATTTTAAGACCTTTTTAACGTGACCTGAAATAAAATTTAAGACCAACTTCATAATTAACACAAATGGAATAAAAAAACACAGTTTACCCAAATGTTTGTTTTAACACAAATCAACGAGCTACGAGAGGCATTCAGTAAATTATTAAAAAAATGAAATAAATGTTACAAATTGTTTTAATATTTGAGATGAATTACAATCATCCTACTTACAATGTGGTAACATTTTTATGACCAAGAAAAGATTAAGACATTTTAAGACCAATTAATGCCTTATTTTTGTTTGATGATTTCAATGCCTTTTTAAGACTTTTAAACGCAGAAACAAGAAACATTTTAAGACTTGATGAGAAGATATTAAAGTGCCTGTGACATCCTTCAAATACAAAACATCAAAGAAAACATCCTTATATTTAAGAAACTTGGAAATAAAATACGATTTCACTCATTTTTTTACATTACTTCAATATTTTCTTTTGAACTTGACTCAGTAAAAGTGAAACAGGAAGTGACATCAAAGGGGAACTCACTAAGAAAATGAACTCTGGTCTTTGTTAATTRAAACAATATTTGAACTCTGACTCTTCATCTCTCCGATAAAGACTCAAAATAATCTAAAGAAACGTCAGACTCTTCCGTACAATATGTAATGTTAGCTGTTTATTAGCGATGCTCGACATTCCCCTTTGACATCACTTCCTGTTACTTCACATGCAAATATCTTAACTGTTCATCTCAGAGGCTTTATTTTTTTGCAACATGTTATCTTCCCTAAAATGCCTTTATATTTTTTTATAAAATAGACGTCACAGACACTTTAATATCTTCACTTAAAGAGAAAATAACTTCCTCATCTTTTRCACAAATTCCCTAAAGTTCAATAATGAACTATTTGACCTAATAAAGATCTAAAACCTGTGGTTGTACCTGCTTTAGGGTCCTGGTTGAAGCGTGCGTAGCGCGAGTTGTCCAGCTGGGATACACACTGCTCTATTGGTACCCAGACATAAGTCTCGGGGCACAGGAGTTCTGCGGGTCGGTACTGGCCCTGGAAACCAGAACAAGGAGGAAAAACATTGTCAAAAAGAATATTTAATAATAAACAATTCAACTGACATTTTTAAAAAGCCAAACATCCTAATTGGTTTACATGAAGCAGTTTTAGGAAATTATCTTGGCTGCAGAGCATCTTAAACTAAACACTAAATAAAATATGTCCAGAACCATGAAACCCACTTGAAAACTCAAACACACTCAACTCATTGTTATATAAACAATGCATAGAAATAAAACCACAGTTTGTATCATTTAGACTTAAAAAACTGAGAATTGTTCACATTTATCAGTATTTTTTACATATTAAAACAAAAAAAAAACTTGGAAATACTTTATTTACGTTAACGTTCATTCACTTTTAAAGTGACTCACCGTATTTTCCTTTAATATCTTTTTTCTATAACTTGTAATATAATATGTAATAGGAATGCAAGATATAAACGATATACGATAGAAACGATGTAAATTTGTCCTATGATAGAGATCTGTAG